AATAGCAGGGGTAGTGTAATACTAGCAGGTGTAGTGTAATACCAGCAGGGGTAGTGTAATACTAGCAGGGGTAGTGTAATACTAGCAGGGGTAGTGTAATACTAGCAGTGGTAGTTTAATCCTAGCAGGGGTAGTGTAATACTAGCAGGTGTAGTGTAATACTAGCACGGGTAGTGTAATACTAGCAGAGGTAGTGTAATACTAGCAGGGGTAGTGTAATACTAGCAGGGGTAGTGTAATACTAGCAGAGGTAGTGTAATACTAGCAGGGGTAGTGTAATACTAGCAGAGGTAGTGTAATACTAGCAGGGGTAGTGTAATACTAGCAGGGGTAGTGTAATACTAGCAGGGGTAGTGTAATACTAGCAGGTGTAGTGTAATACTAGCACGGGTAGTGTAATACTAGCAGGGGTAGTGTAATACTAGCAGGGGTAGTGTAATACTAGCAGGGGTAGTGTAATACTAGCAGGGATAATGTAATACTAGCAGGGGTAGTGTAATACTAGCAGGGGTAGTGTAACACTAGCAGGGATAATGTAATACTAGCAGAGGTAGTGTAATACTAGCACGGGTAGTGTAATACTAGCAGGGGTAGTGTAATACTAGCACGGGTAGTGTAATATTAGCAGGGGTAGTGTAATACTAGCAGGGGTAGTGTAATACTAGCAGGGGTAGTGTAATACCAGCAGGGTAGTGTAATACTAGCACGGGTAGAGTAATACTAGCAGGGGTAGTGTAATACTAGCACGGGTAGTGTAATACTAGCAGGGGTAGTGTAATACTAGCACGGGTAGTGTAATATTAGCAGGGGTAGTGTAATACTAGCAGGGGTAGTGTAATACTAGCAGGGGTAGTGTAATACTAGCAGAGGTAGTGTAATACTAGCAGGGGTAGAGTAATACTAGCAGGGGTAGTTTAATACTAGCAGGGGTAGTGTAATACTAGCAGGGGTAGTGTAATACTAGCAGAGGTAGTGTAATACTAGCAGGGGTAGAGTAATACTAGCAGGGGTAGTGTAATACTAGCAGGAGTAGAGTAATACTAGCAGAGGTAGTGTAATACTAGCAGGGGTAGTGTAATACTAGCAGGGGTAGTGTAATACTAGCAGAGGTAGTGTAATACTAGCAGGGGTAGTGTAATACTAGCAGTGGTAGTGTAATACTAGCAGGGGTGGTGTAATACTAGCAGGTGTAGTGTAATACTAGCAGGGGTAGTGTAATACTAGCAGGGGTAGTGTAATACTAGCAGCGGTAGTGTAATACTAGCAGGGGTAGTGTAATACTAGCACGGGTGTTGTAATACTAGCAGGTGTAGTGTAATACTAGCAGGGGTAGTGTAATACTAGCAGGGGTAGTGTAATACTAGCAGGGGTAGTGTAATACTAGCAGGGGTAGTGTAATACTAGCACGGGTAGTGTAATACTAGCAGGGGTAGTGTAATACTAGCAAGGATAATGTAATACTAGCACGGGTAGTGTAATACTAGCAGGGGTAGTGTAATACTAGCAAGGATAATGTAATACTAGCAGGGGTAATGTAACAAGGGTAATGTAATATTAGCAGGGATAATGTAAAACTAGCAGGGGTAATTAAGTCCTAGCAGGGGTAATGTAATACTATCATGTGGTAATGTAAAACTAGCAGGAATAATGTAATACTAGCAGAAGTTGTGCAGTACGAGCAGGGGTAACAAATTCCTAGCAGGGGTAATATACTCGCAGGGTTAATGAAGTCGTAACAGTCGTAATGAAGTTTTAGCAGGAGTAATGAAGTTCTAGCGGGTAGGTTGGTGGTGACAGAGACATGTCGGTAGGTTGGTGGTCACAAAGACATGTCGGTAGGTTGGTGGTCACAGAGACATGTCGGTAGGTTGGTGGTCACAGAGACATGTCGGTAGGTTGGTGGTCACAGTGACATGTCGGTCGGTTGGTGGTCACAGTGATATGTCGGTAGGTTGGTGGTGACAGTGGTATGTCGGTAGCTTGGTGGTCACAGTGATATGTCGGTAGGTTGGTGGTGACAGTGACATGTTGGTAGGTTGGTGGTGACAGAGACATGTCAGTAGGTTGGTGGTCACAGAGACATGTCGGTAGGTTGGTGGTCACAGAGACATGTCGGTAGGTTGGTGGTCACAGTGATATGTCGGTAGGTTGGTGGTCACAGAGACATTTCGGTAGGTTGGTGGTGACAGAGACATGTCGGTTGGTTGGTGGTCACAGAGACATGTCGGTCGGTTGGTGGCCACAGTGACATGTCGGTAGGTTGGTGGTCACAGTGATATGTTGGTAGGTTGGTGGTCACAGTGATATGTTGGTAGGTTGGTGGTGACAGTGGCATGTCGGTAGGTTGGTGGTCACAGAGACATTTCGGTAGGTTGGTGGTCACAGTGATATGTTGGTAGGTTGGTTGTCACAGTGATATGTTGGTAGGTTGGTGGTCACAGAGACATGTCGGTAGGTTGGTGGTCACAGTGATATGTTGGTAGGTTGGTGGTCACAGAGA